CCAAGTAACATGAGCAGGCTATTTAGCAAACCACTTGTACTTTTATTCTACCCTCAGAAGGCCTTTCTGCCAGATCCACTGTGGCGGTGACAGGTGCGACAAAAAAGAGTCCAGGGGCAGAGAGATCATATAGGGTACCCACAAGACACCACCTCCTGCTTGCAGGCATGCTTGCGAAAGACCACCCCAGGCCGGCGGGGAAACAGTTCAGTTGCAGACTCTGAATTCCGGCCATGTCAGCCTAAGCCCATCCGGCACAACTGAAGAGGTGACTGCAAGGCAGGAGAAAGCTGGGTACAGGTCTGATTCTGCAACTAGGGCACATTTAGAACATCTTGAGGCTACAGTAACTTCTGCTACCTGTCCCAACTGCAACAGCTAAATGCAGAGCATGCTTTGGCCATGATCCCAGGGCTGCAGGACGGTAGCACGTAAATAGCCTCCTGCATTCGCCACAGACTGGATGGACCACGCTGCAATTTGCAAGCAGCTGCCAGGCAAAAGAAACAGAGAAGAACTGTGACATGGCCCTCCACAGGGAGAAACATCTGAAACTTCTGACACTTAACTTAAAGCATATCAAAACATCTATGGAAGAAGAAATAGGCTGGAAACTGGATAAAGTCTCTCTTGGTATCTTATCACCTTCTTGACTGTGAGAGAGAAGCCTCTGTCACTGGGTATTTGTCCCTCTGGATGCAACCTGGAGTAGAAATAGTAGTTTATTAAAGCTTAAATACAGCTTTTGAAAACTTGCCCAGACAAACAAAATGTTAATGGAAGTTTTGGCTTTGTCTTCACTGCTTGGGAAATGACTTTTCCCCTGTAAAAAGACGAGCTGTAGCAGCTCTTTCATTCCAATCACCATAGGCACAGCTATCACCTGCAACACATCTGAAGCACACTACCCTTCAGCACACCTGGTCCCCCTTTACCTCTCACAAGCAGGGAGGGAGGATGTGCAAGTGGCAACAACACAATGTCAGAGTTCTTTCCTCAGAAATGAAGACTGTGAGGAAATGCAGGAACAGACTACCACATGAAAGATGCTCTAAGGAGAGAGTCAGCTGTTCTCCACCTCAGTACGGGAGAAGAAGTACTCAGCTTTAATGGCAGCACGGAAGACTAGGTACGAAGGATAACTTTCTAGCATGAAGAACAAAGCACCAGAACAGATTGCATGCAAAAAGTCCTTATCAGCATTGGAGGCCTTTTGAATCAGGTTGGGCAAACATTTGTCAGCAATGATGTAAGCCAAGCTGATTCTTACTTGGACTGGGAAATTAGGCTAGATGACTGTCAAACTCTCTTCCAACCCATTTTGATCTATGGCTCTGCAACAAGGAACTGAGTGCTGGCCAGTAATACACACCCATTCAGTCACCTGGGTCCCCAGAGATCTCCCGTGTCACCCTAGTAGAGTCACTCAGTGTCTGTCAGTTCCTCACCTGGAAAGGAGTCTCACCCCTATGAGAGCACAGGCTCAGATGAGAGCGCTGTGAGGATAAGCACATTTCGTAGACTCTCTAAGGTCTCCGAGAAAGTCCTTTTCACCTCACATCTTGGGTGGAAGACCAAAAACACAGGTGGTACTTGCACTTCAGGGTGCTTACATTGAAGTTACACCAGAGCAAGAACAGTACTCTGTCCTCCAGCATACTGCATTGTCCAAAACAATGGATTAATGCAGGCTTCAGGCCTTCCATTAACAGCATGAGGTACAAGTCCAGTCCTGTATCACAGGTGCAAGGTCCCCTCTCAGCTTCCCCACACGAGCCCCACACCAGAGGCCTGTGTTACTGGCACTAGAGGTTAAAGCCCCATTTTGCAGCTGCACCTACAATGACTATCTGCCGTCCCGAGCTCTCTCGCTGGGGGACTTGCCCTGCTCCCCACACTGCCTGTGGCAGGACTGTTCCCGTGCACAGACACAGCTGAGCTGGGGCCACAGCACCATCTGCAGGGCTCTGCCAAAGACCAAGCCTTTACCAACTCCTCCTCAGGAAAGGCCGGTATGATCCTAGCAGATACTTCGCACCTGGTAACTCTCCAAAACAGACATGAGCACACATACAACCACGCTCTTCAGAGTCCTGGAGAAAAACAAAGCCCCTCTCTGAAAGCATCACTTCAGGAAACAAATCACCATTTTGATACAGTTCCAAAGACCCAGTAAGTTCCCAGAAAATTAAATGTATGTCAGCTACTGGATTACATAAAATGCCAACTGAAGCGTCAGCCTTCTGTGGCTTCAGGGAGCAGCTACGCTGCTGCAGAGAGCTCACGTGCACAGTGTATTGCCGGCATCAGCTGAGCCTCCCGCTCACAGGCAACAAAGACAATGCAGACACGGTCCATTGCTTTAGCAAGGGCACTGGGAGTGCCTGTGGTTCCTTAAAAACCACTATTTCCAAAAAGCTCTGCAGTGCTTCTGTACCAAAATGAGCCTGGACCAATATGCATAAATCATCGAAGAACACATTGTACTACACCAGCACATTCCCTCAGATGCGAGTCTGACAAATAAATCCAGCCTCTTGGGAGGAAGAACAATTTTTCTCCATTCTTGTCTTTGTGAGAAGGTCAGCAGCACCATGTGATTTTCCGAGACATATAACCACTATGCAGCACAAACCCACAGAAATGCAAGCATTTTTATTATTGGTTTAGCTATAAATATAGGAATTTAACACTTGTCCTACTGGATTAAACCTAGAGTCTCTCTAACAGAGAAAGTGTCCAGAGAAGTGACTGATCAATGCTTCCAAGAAAAGGCATGCTGCTTTCTGCAGCCCAGCCACAGCACTCTCAGAGGGACATCTAACTCTAGCCTGCTGCATGGAGCCAGCCTACCCCTTGAAGAATGCAATATGATGCCATTTAACACTCTCATAAGCCAGTGAACTATCCAGCTTTTAAAGTATCCTACAGAACTAAGCTGTGCTTGTTGCTCTGTTTCATACAGAAACACTGCTAACACCCAGATGAAATCTGTGAACTCATTTAATTTTTAAACAAAGTCTGAGAAACTGAACTTAAAAAAGACCCTAAAGTACTATTAAAAAAAAAAAAACCCCGAAATAACACTTTTTGACTGCAATTTGTACTCACAGCTCTAGCATGCAAAACTGCCAGAAATCACCTGTGCTAGAACTTTATTTCCAAACACAGGATCAAGGGCACTTTAACTGGACTTTTTTAGTTCTCTCCTTCCTTAGATTTCCTCCACTGTGTTTAACCAGGGCAGGTACTGCAGTCCAGAGAAGGCTTAAAGAGTGTACGGGACACAGCAAACTGCTGGGGCGTGCAGAGTGGTGGAGAGGATAAATGCAGTGTTGAGTGGTACGATAGGGTGAAAGGCCAGTCTGTGAACAGAGCTGTAAAAGCCCAGAGGGTGGGGAAAGGATCCAACAGGACACCTGAGTGCTGGTACATCAGAGTGAGCTCAGGTATCTTTGAAAAAGCAGGGCCAATGTTCAAGAGTTAAAGAGCAAATGAAAGAAGTGAGTGTGGGAGAGGTAGAGGGGAAAGGGAGTAGATGTATTAGTGCTCATGTAAGGCCCTCGGAATCTGCTGCAGCCTTCCAAACAGATGCAGTTTGCTTATGCATCTCCTACCTAATATTTCTGGCTATGCAGTCCCAGTTCAGCCTGGACAGAGAGCCTGATAGCACCTCCCTGGCACACATAGACTGAAAAGGTCACTGCCTGGACACTTCCACCCCTACCAAGTGCTCACCTCCACTCTGCTTCCACTCAGACTGGTAGACCAGATCCTTTCATTTGCTTGCTTTCCTTCCTTCCCTGGCTAGCTATGGTCAGGAAGGGAACTTGCAACACCGGAAACAGCAGCAACAACAAGCAGCAGCTTGAATTTAATCCTGCCGTTATTTATAATGTCATGATGTTGACTGCCCGTTTCAGGGACTTCTCTCGGTGTTGTTTCAGGCAGCCCTACTCTGAGTCATCCTTCTCAAAGAAACAGACCTCAGCTATTCCCACGGCTGTCAAGAGACTGGGTCCTACTCCAAACTTAGCTTGTTGTCAAATTCTGTACAAGTCATTTCACCTCCCGTTTTTCAACTTCTCCATCTGCAAAACTGGAGTAGCGATTCTGGCCTTCTTTGTAAAGTCTTGCATTTAAATGCCTTACATGGAGGTTAGGCATTTCTATTACTATCCAAAGCAATGTGCGGGTGCCAGATGTTTATTCAGGTCTACTAGCACATTTGAAAATGTAATTGCACAGCAGTTCTTGTAAGGACACTGATCTGAAGCACTATCTTTATTACAATGTTTTGATTATTTTTGGCAGCATCCACCAAGTGTCAGGTGCTGTAGATTCAGATGGTGTAACATGTGCACTGATCCTTTGACAACATGTCACTCAGCAGGACTGGGAAACAAAGGCTACTTTGCTGTTGGAAATCTACTTCAGAGCATCAGGATCCTGGAATAGAACTGAATTTGAAATGTGCAGGTTAGTCATGTCCCATTATACCTGAAAAATCCATGTGCCAATACAAGCCAGAGTTTGGACCTATCATCCAATCTGGTCACATTCTACATAAATTTATCTCCAGGCCAAAAAAAAAAACAACCTTGAATTCTTTCCAGGTGAAATCAGTGATCTGACATGTTGCGAAGTTGTATTTTTAATGAAATATCTGGAGCTGTGAACTCTTCCATACGGGGTCCTGAGATAAATGAGTCACTTTAGCAGAGCAAACTAAAAACTTGCATGCAGTTGTCCAAGGAAGGTAAAACACTTCTACGTGTTCTGCTGAACTTCTGCATCACTGGATGAAGTCTGTATCAGGAAACGAGGGGGTCTGCCACTGCATGGAGAGTTCAGTGCACTGGGGAATGAAGTGGCAATTCCTTTTGCCACTCAGTTTTCAACAAGCTGTTCA